CACCAATCCCGCATCTCGATGCATGATGGCCGAGGAGCCAAATTGCACAACTCAATATGAAATGAATACACACACGAACACATAAAGCCTAAAACTCCATCATGTATAGTCAAGAGTGTCGGCGACCGAGAATTGAGGCACGTTTCATCACTTCGAGTATGAAACATCCCTTGTTTCCCGTGTTTAGACTAACTCCTATTCCAAACACAATGCAACAAATAACATGGCATGGCATACACAATGCGGCTCAAGCATGCAAACATTCAATGCAATGAAACAGACATATGAACACGATGCAAGGGACAAGCATGAACACATGCAACTAACATATTAGCATACACAATGCTATGAACTACATTGCATACATAATGCTTATGACAACTAGTATATGCAATACACATGATAACTAGTATACGCTAGGCAATGGACATGGCATGCACAAATGCAATAATCAATCATGCAACAACATGGCATTCTCAATGCTACGAACCACATGGCATACCCAATGCACAATGAACTTAAACCAAAATGGATAGGCCTCAGCCATGTCCAAATCAGTGGCCATACATGCTAAGATAGAAACTCAAAATGCTATACAAACATGCATGCATATCAGCCCAAGCTTAAGGCTCAAAACACAACTCTCCAAAAGCATTGAAAGAATGAAACATGAGGTACAATGGCATATGTTCCAGCACTGAAATGGCATGCAAAATGACTTAGAATCATGCCAACTACCCATGTAATGCATGTTGAAAGGCTCAAGCGTCAAAGCTAGTGAAGTGTGTTACACTAGAGGCATGCAAGATAATGCTCAAATGGCCAAACTAACCCCAAACAGACCCTATGCAAGCCAAAATAGTATAAAAAATGAGTTGGGATGATGGCTTGAAAGGCACGAAAATGAGGCTCATGCAATGACTCACAAATAGGGCACAAAAGCACAACCCTCAAGAGCACTTAAAGAGCGGAAAATATGGAAGTGTAACAGCCCTACATGCTCTGAAATATCATTCTCAATGATGCCAAAACATGCAAGTACCTCAAGTTAAGCATGCAAGAGACCTCAAAACTCAAAGCTAGTCAAGGCTATTACACTACAAGTATGCATGACAAGCCTCACTCGACCAAGAAGTCTCAAAACAGAGCTAAGACAGCCCAAAATAAGAATAAAAATCATGCTAGGGCATAGCCAAAATATGCTAGGATAATGAGCCAAAACATCATGCATACGAAGCTAGTAAACAAGATTTACACTACAAGCATATGGAGCATGCAAGAGGCTACCAAACCAGCCAAAAACAGAGTCATGACATGTCAAATGATGGCCAAAAATCTACTGAAATGGAGCCAATACATGCTAGAAAGATATGCTACTTTGATGAGCCACAAATGGGAATACACTACACATATAAGAAGCAAACACAAGGTGGCCAAACTAGCCATAGACAGAGCTAAGGTAGGCCCTAAAAGTCATGAAAAAGTGCCTGAACCAAGCCTTGAAAGTATGAAGATGCATGCTCCTTTGATAGGCCAAAAATGCAAGCAAACAAAACAAGAAGAGAGGGGATCACCCCCTTCTGATTTGAGACCTCAAAACCACATGCCTACTACTGAAAATCCACTAGATTTCAGTGGCTAGAAGGCCAAGCAAGGACTAGCTCAAAGGCCTTAAACCATGGCACAAAACAAGGCCAAACAAGGCATGCAAGAGGGTAGAAGACCCTCAACACCCAAGAGGCCTTAAACAAACATTAAAAACACTTAAATACAAAACTTTTTTCAGTTGAAAGCAAGGCCTAAATAAGCATGAAAATAAGACCAAGAGAGCAACCAAAATAAAGCTTAAAAAGGAGAAAAGAGGTTACCCTTGATGCACTGCAAAACTAGCAGATTTCTTAGCCAAGAATCAGCTTTTTTAACCTCCAAAAAAGTCCTCCAAGAACCTCAATTCAATGATGGGGGTGTATGGTTAAGGATTGTGGTGCAAAAGTGAAGAACAACACACTCTTTAGGCACCAAATATAGAGATATAGAGAGATATATGCTTATCCCTTAGGAAAATTTTTAGAACCCCTGCCATGGAGAGGGAGAGCCTCTCTTATAGAAAAACAAAGGTTCAAGCTTCTTGGAGAAGCTAAAACTTGGATGCAACGTGTATGGAGGATACAGTCTGTGCCTTCCAGTTGGCACAACTGGCATCCACACAGTTTGCCAAAATAGGGAGAGAGCTGCCGACCACTTTAAGTGGTCGGCCTGCTATTTGTAGTGGTCGGCCGACCACTTCAAGTGGTCTCCCAGGAAAAAAAGTGATCGACAGGGGGAATTGGTGGTCCCTACACTGAAAGCAAGCCAATGGTGGGATGGGAGACCAGAAAAGGTGGCTCAAAGACCAAAAAAACCAGTTTCCCGACCAGAAAATTGGCTAGTGGGAAGGAAAGTGGTCTCAAAGGGGAAAAACTGGTCTCCCACCCTCGTACCACCTTCCAAGCAAGGAAAACAAGGTTTGTACCAAAAACAAACCAACACGGATGCAAAACGAGAGTTCGGGAGGCAAAGCGCGCAGCCGGGAGCCTCGAAACCCAGCTGTTGAGCACCAAAAGTGGTATACAACCACAAAAGTAGTCTCCCGAACCACAGTGTCCTTCTAGATAGAGGAAACAAGGTGTGGTTCAAAAACCACGCCAAACGGAGAACGTTAAGTGGTCCCGAGACAAGGCGCACGACCGAAGACTCCGAAAACCGAGAACTGATCTCCAAACGGGAAAAAGTAGTCTGCGACTGCGAAAAGTGGTCTACGACCACAAAGAGATGGTCTACAAGACCTCTCTCTCCCTCCGGGAAGAGAAAACAAGGTTCGGTCCACAAACCGAGCCAAAGCACAAAGAGTTCAGGGACCCGGAGGCAAGGCTCTCAGCCAAAACTCCGAAGCTCGAAACGAGCACAACATGCACTATCACCGAGTGCTCAATCGATGACGTCTGAGTCTTAAGTTCGGTCAAAAATGGGGTGTCTACACTCTTCTATCACTTGCACCTTGGATTGGTCTGTTTAGACCGAGCTAACTGTAGCAAGGTTTGACCGAGCTAACAAGAGCAAAGTCCACCTTAAGAAGTCCAAATACCTCAGTTTTGAATACCATGACCGAGCTAATTCTTACCACTCCGACCGTGGTAACTGTAACTACCTTTGGACCGAGCTAACTGTAAGGTCCTTTCAATCTGCCTTTTTACCGCGGCCCACAGAACGGCCCATTACTACGCCTTGGCCTAGCTCGGCCCTAATGCACATAAAAACTCCCTCTCAGTAACAATGGAAATAGAGGAGAAGTGAAGATTGAGAACAAAAAAAAGCTACCTAACAGTGAGTATTTTCGTTATTTAGGATCAATTATGACAATGGTTAGTGAGATTGGAGCGGATGTGATCTATTAAATTAAGACATGGTAGCTTAAATGGAGGAGTGTGTCTAGGATACTGTATGATAAATGAGTATCCATTACACTAAAAAGAAAGTTCGATAGAAGATAAGTTGAGAGATAATAGATTGAGATGGTTTGGGTATATATAATGGAGACCAACATAGGTAATAGCAAAAAGATGTGATACAGTGACAATAGATGGAAGTGTTAAGGGAAGAGGTAGACTTAGATTGATGTGGGTGTGAGTGTAGTAAATAGAGATTTGAATCTCATTTATTTGACTAACAAAATGGCCGTTGATAGAGTTGAGTGGAAAGAATAATGATTCATATAGTCGACTCCATTTAGGGTGTGTTTGTTTTGAAGGATTAGGGTGTGGGATTGGGCTATCAGTCTGACTAATAGTCTATTGTTTGTCTGAAAATTTTTGCTCCGGACTATTAGTCCCACAAATATGGGACTATCCTATCCCATGGGGGGGTGGGATAGAAATCATGAGATTGGTATTCCATGAGATTATTTTGTGAAATGTCCATTTTACCCTCCATGCTATTACTTAGTAAACAATTAAAAAATGGTAAAATAGTCTTTTGAATATTTATAAATTATTTTTTTAGTGTTGTTAATTTAAAATTAATAAATTATAAATTATGACCTTATAAATTAAATTTTTTTAGTGCTGTTGAAAATTTAATTTATATATTAAATAAAATTATTTTTTATTGTCATTAATTTAAAATTATATATTAAATAAAAAATATAAATTATAAATTATAAACTTAATTTAATTGAAAATAATAAATTAAAATAATTAAAATATTGTGCAAAAAATAAAATAAAACAAATTTTTATTTAATCTAACTAAAAATAATTAAAATATTAAAACTATGTTTAATAGTGTTATTACTTAGTAAATAATTAAAAAGGATAAAATAGTCATTTGAACATTTATTATTCTCCATAATATCCCAAATAAACATTAAATAACTAAAATTAATCTAAACATCTAATTGTAGATTACAAATTTAAAATTATATATTAAATAAAAATTATAAATTACAAGGGTAAAATAGTCTTTTGAACATTTATCCTTATCCAGTTCGTTTAACTAAACATTGGATTCACTAAAAATAGTCCAATCCAGACATCTAATCCCATGACTAAACAAACATAGGATACAAATTCAATCCAACCAAATAGTCCGAGAACAATATATCCTAAGACTAATAGTCCGATAGATTACAATCTCCCTTATCCGATCCCTCCAAACAAACACACCCTTGATGGTTTGATTTATAGGAAAGAGTTAGAATTAATGGTTTGATTTATAGGAAAGAGTTAGAAAAAAAAAAAAAACTTATAGGAAAGAGTTTTTAGGCTCATTAAATTATATTGTAGAATTTTATAAAGATCTTAGGAAAACTTGTCAATATTTTAAATAAACTTTTTATCCTTAAAAATTACAGGTTACTTGTAATTAATAGATTGATTTCCTCCCATAATATGAAAGAGAATCATTCCATTTCAGTTACCGAAAATGTGAAAGAAACGCTTAAAACGTACAAGTTTCCTCTCACACACACTGAAGAAGGTGGCAGAGACTATAGACTACTAGAGTCTCTAGAGAGAAAAAAAAAAACTACATTTTATCTTTGTTCTCAAATTTTCTAGGGTTTCTGTTTTCTATCATCTCTGCATTCTCGCTCTCTTCAAGCTTGTATTTTGAAGAGAAGTGGTATGTCTTCATTGTCTCTGCTCGTTTAAACCCTCTTTTCTCATGAATTTTGGATTTTGTAAGTTGAAAAATGTTTGTCTCAAACTTTGGGTCTCTCTGTATGTTTTACTGTAAACTCATATTTTGCTCTGAAAACATATGCTTACTGTGAACTCAAGTGGTTTTATGTACTTTCTCTACCTTTCCTCTAGCCTTCATCATCATCATCATCATCATCATCATAGCAATAGGTTTATGTATGATGAATGTATGGTTCATGTATATTGATTTTAGTGAAATTTTATTCGGATTTTGGTAGTGTGGGTTTCAATGTTTGTGGGTCTGAATGGTTTAGTGTTTTTCATGCCTAATGGAGTTGTTTACACATCTTAATCTTTTGGCCTTCACTTGATAGTAACATGGAATGGGAGCTTTACCCAGAGTGGAGTTTTCTTGGTATGATGATAGATACTGGATTTCTACTTATTACATCTAATCTGACTTCCCTTTTTTTGTCTTTTATTTATTTTTTCTCTGCATACTTAATGATTATTATTTATATCATTTAGGCTTGCTTTGAGTTGATTAGTGCCAGTGCTGCTTCGGATGCTCTGCCCTCTTTTTATCATGTGGTCTTTTAGAAGGATAAGCAAATTCTTGTATGGGAATGGAATATATATATATATATATTTTATTATTATATTTGTTTTCTGGGATGTGAAGAATGTCAACCCCATGTGCCTGGTTTTAGACTTTAGGAAACTGAAACTTGTACATTTCTTTATAATTTAATTTGAGGAACTCTAAAACTCTCTCATTTTATGTTTACTTTGATTCTAGTACATTTATTAGGAATTTGTCGACATTGATGATCATGTGAGCTTAAGCACTAAGCAAGATTGAGGATGTTACAAAATTATATTGGTATAAAATAATATATTTTCTTTGAGTTTTGGATTTATGATATATAAAATTAGTAATATCAATAGGTTTGGCTTTTCTTATATTCAAATCTCAACTTGAGAGAACTTGATGGGTTCACCAGTCCCATTTTGATGATTCGAACCGTTCATTTTGTAAGGTCCATTTTTTCAGAGATAAACAAAAGTTATGGTTATTAGATTGATCTAACTTTTTTCATGAATGATATACATGTAGGGCCCTACAAAATGAACGGTTTAGATCATCGAAATGAGACCTATGGTGGACCCCATGGGCCTCTCTAGTTGAGGTTTGAATATAAGAGAAGCCCAATCCAAATAAAAAATGCCCAAAAGATAAATTTTTTGTCCCAAATATAATTCAATAATTAATGTCTCACTGAATCCAAATGATGATAAAAGCACATTTAAAATAACTTAGATTTACTGTTCTATGAATACTGATATAAAATTTGCAACTTATGGCCTAAAGTCTTTGAACCTCTACAGTTTGATTGAGTTGGGAAGAGTTTAATCATAAATAATTTCTTCCATCCCCAATCATAGTTTCTAGCCAGGTTTGACCAAACTGAAGGATGTTAATGGGAGCTTGATTATCTATATTTCCATGTCTGTTATTATGTTATTGAGTCTACCTCTTTCCAACAATTTTTTTTTTTTATAAATATATTATGTTTTTTAAGGACATTTTGGGATATTTTCCCTAAAACATTAAAGCAATTTTTTTAAAAAAAGAGGTTGTGGGTCTGTTGTTTTCTTTTATGTACTTCCATGCACACTTGGGTTGCATTCTACCAACAATTTTTAAATAGTCTGTCTTAAGGGTTGTTTGGGATGAACTATATAAGTGCACTTTTTGACTTTTTGGATAAAAAAGTAGAGGAAAAAAAGATAGTTGTTTGGGATAACTTTTTGATTTTTTACAAAAAAATGTGTATTAAAATATTGTATAAAATAACAAAATTATCGGATTACCCCTAATGCCCCTAGGCGTGTACTGACAGTGATTGTTTAGGAAGCCAATTAGCTGCGTTGTTTTGAAGTTGTGTGGTGGATTAGACGGTGTTGTTCGGCCTGTGGGGCCCCACCATGGGTCCTGTTTTGATAATTTGAACCATTCAATGTGTAGAATTCGTCGAGTACTATATGCTTGTAAAAAATCAAGTTGATCGGATATCGATAGCTATCTCAGCGGAGCAGTTTTTTGTCAACCGTTAATTTGGTCACCATCCATTTTTTTTTTATACAAAACTGATTTGTTCATATAGCTATCGATATCCGATCAATATGATGTTTTACAGGCATATAGTACCTGACGAGTTCTACACATTGAACGGTTCAGATTATCAAAACGGGACCAGTGATGGCCTCCGCGGGCCGAACAGTACTGTCCTGTGTAACTTTTTTGTGCACCGCTTATGTAAATTTGTACCATCACTTCACAGTGTACCATCACTACAGTGGCCACAGTTGGCTTGTACTTTTTCCTGTGTAAATTTGTTGTTTTTATATGTATATATATATTTTTTGTGAATAGTGATAATTTTTTGCTTTTTTAGTAATTTTTTGGCTCTTTGTTTTTTATAGATTATGCCAAACAAGCACTTAGTGATAAACAATCAACAAAGAGAGTATAAACATGATCTGTATAATTGGATTATGCTTATTTGGTCACAACCACTCGTTTCTTGTAGAATTGTATGTCGTTTAGGTCAGTGTTTTGAAAAGAGCACTTAAGTGCAAGGTGCACCAAGGTGCCTTAGATATCTTGAGGCAAACCATTGTAGAAAAGGCGCATCTGAGGTGCCTGAGGCCTATGTTACATGGACTCGGCACTTTGGGGCGAAGTACCCGTGTCGACTCGACACGACACGACACGGGTGCGGGTGTGGGATCTGTGTCGGATTCGCCTCTCTTCTCTCGGACACGGCTAATCAAAAAGGAAGAAGAAGGTTGAGATACTTACATTGATGTATGGATTCAAGATCTTGATCATGTCTTTCGATCTTCTTCTCTGTCTCGATCTCCTTCTCTCTCTCTCTATCACGATCTCCTTCTCTCCCTCGATATCTCTCTCGATCATGCTGTGCGTGTGGCAGAGAAGAGAAGAGAAGAGAAGAGAAGAGAAGAGACAGACCCATCGTGTTGGTGTGCGTGTGAGAGAGAAGCGAAGAGGAGACAGACCCATCGTGGTGTTGCTGTGCGTGTGAGACAGACATGTCAAAGCTGCTGCTGCTGTTTGTATCAAACCCTAATGGCTGGATGCTGTGCGTGTGAGACAGACATGTCACAGCTGCTGCTGCTGTTTGTATCAAACCCTAATGGCTGGACCTAATGGGTTGGACCTAATAAATAAATAAAAGGCTTGTGGGCTGGACCTAATAAATAAATTAAAGGCTTGGGCTATTGGCTAGTAAATATTATAAATCTTAATGGGCTGGACCCAAATAAATAAATAAAAGGTTTGGGTACTGATTTGTATCATAAATTAATATTTTAAACTATAATGGGCTGGACCCAAAAAAATAAAGAAAAAATTTACACCTATTGGTTGGTTTGTATCATAATAAATCTTAATGGGTTGGATCCAAATAAATAAATAAAATATTTGGGCCTGTTAACAAACTCTTTTCAACAATAATATGGGTTGTTATATGACTCATCCATATGTTTGATTTTATTCATAAAAAAAAATTATTGGGTCAACTTTTTTTTAACTCATCTTCATATAATAAATATATTTAAAAATAACTGTTTAACGTATCCCCGTACCCGTATCCACATTTGGATCCATATCCACGTATCCTTAATTTTTAATTTTGAAGTGTCCGGCCCCCAGATACGCACCTGCACAGATACCCGCACCCGAGTCCGTGTAACATAGCCTGAGGCACAGGTGCAAGGCACTTCATTTAAATTTTTGCGCCAACTTTATTTTTTGTGTGTAGCTACCATAGTTGTTAAATTGAGAATTGTATAGTGAATCAAAATCTTAATTTTGCAAATCATGAATTGAATCTCAAATTGTTAAGATTCAATACAAACTATGAAAAGTCGTGTTAAACAATTGTATATATGGAAAAAGATAATTTTGGCATATGCTATAAAATAGTTCTTATATGAGGAGATTATCACACCATCTAATTGGGAAGCCATTACCTTCATTGCAAGGGTTGTGGATCCAAATCCTGCTAACTATAAAATTCTTCAAAACCCAAAATAAATTCTTGACATTCGAAAAATGGACTTAGGAACTCCATATAGAGAATAATAAGAAGAGAGAATTAAGTGGAATTCTTTATTTTAGAATCTAAAACAATTTAAAAGCTATGTATACTTATTGTTCAAAAAAAGTTATATAAAAATAAAAATTATGGTGGAGCCATTGGGTTTGACTGACATCACCCATGCAATATTGAACTATATTTATTTCATTAAAATAGTAATAGATAATTCATGTGTGCAAGTTATTTTAATCTTAAACATCCTTTGCATCTGTATTATGACATTTGTTTGAGGAAAAAAACAAGGAAAAATGGTTAAGAACCTGTTTGGTTTGACTGAATCTGATTAGTTCTTATTGAAAACCCTATGATCACTAAAATAATAGCAAATCATGCATGTGTATTGGTTATTTTCTTACTAAACACTATTAGAATTTTCATATTTAACGCTATTAGAATTTGTATAATGTCATTTTCATTTAAAAAAAGATGTAAAAAATGGTCAAAATTTGTTAGACACTATAGTTTTAAGATTGCATGAATTGTAAAAAGTGAATTGGTTATGTATTATGTGATACACTATACACTCTATCCTAAAATAGATTCACCCATAGATTCGTCTCAATCTATGCATGAATCACAAATCAATCATGAATCAATTTAGGAAAATCACAATCCCTTCAATATAAAATGCAAACAAGTTCTTTGAGCCCTAATTTTCAGATAAAAAAAATGCCCTAGATATTAAGGCCTCGTTTGGAAACAGACTTTTTCAGTAACTTTTTGGCTTTTTGGCTAAAATATGATGTAAAAAAAACTAGTGTGTTTGGGATGACTTTTTGATTTTTTTACGAAAATATGTGCAAAAAGTAGAGGGAAAATGGAATCTTTGACTTTTTGGTATAGATTGTTGGCTTTTTGATTTTTTTAGTGATTTTTTGGCTTTTTGGCTAAAATCACCACTTGCCAAACGGGGCCTAAGCAAAAGCTCTTGGATTGCAAGATGAATATATGACACTAGGATTCCTTTCAATGTAGCGAATTATGACAATTTTGGGCCAATAATTGAAGCTATCGGGGCAATTTGGTTCCGGTTTAAAACCACCAAGTTACCATATGGTGTGAGGTCCTTATCTCAGAAAAGGAGTGAATTGCGTCAATAAATTGATGAAGGGAAATAGAGAGTATTGGGAAAAGTAGGATGTTTTATAATGTGCAATCAGTGGACGGATAAGAGAAATATTGATTTTTGTTGGATGTGAATATGATGTTTTAAGAATTTGTTGGATGTTATGTTTGTGGGTTTTAGAAGGTTGGATGTTATGTTGAAGTATTTTTTGAAATGTTAAGTGTTATTTTTATGATTTTTGGAATTTGAATGTTGTTTTGTTTTATGATTTTTGGAGTTCTAGAAATATTTGCTTATGTTAAAAACTTTGCCTATATTGAAATTATGCTTATCTTCTACAATTTGCGCCTCGCCTCATGCTTAGGCTCTAGGAGACCTTGGCACCTTGATGGGCCTAGAGCTTTTTAAAACACTGATTTAGGTTTCTTCCTCTCTTGCCTTGCATATCAAAGGCCTTATATTTGCATTTTGTTAGTTTTAAAAGAAAAACAAGGATGCCATCATGCTATGGCTTGTTGCTCCTCAACTTAGAGAGATGTTTTCTTAGTGTGAATGCATAATTGAGCAAGTTTGAGTTCTGATTATCTAATTACATAGCTTCAAGCATTTATGTACAGTACAGTGCTTCCCAAATGGCCAAGTTTTTTAGTTTGTTAGGAGTTTATTTTATTTTATTGACTAGATATTCTCATGGAGATCCCATTAATTTTTCTACTACTTCCAATGTAGTCTTTGTGTGTCCACTCAATGGCTTCTTCCGATGAAGAGGGTGAAATCATCCCAGATTGCATCACAAATTACCATCTTGTGGATTACAAGGAAGAACCCATTTCATTTTCCAGATTGCCACTCCAATGGAGTGAGGATGAGATCTCAGATGATTTGAGTATTCAGCTATTCTTACGTGGAACAGCAGATGATGGGCTTCAACAAATCTATAAGAAAGTCATAGCATGGAAGTTTGAACTTTCTTATGTGCTGCCTGAGATTTACTTGCTTTCCAAAGACAAAACTTGGATAAAGCTTCTAAAGCCTAGGAAGAGTTTTGAGAGTACAATTAAGACCATCTTGATCACAATTCACTGCCTCCACTTCATGAAAACAAATCAAGAGGCATCTAGAAATGCTGTATGGAACCACTTGTTGAAAGCTTTCAGGTCTGCATGAATATTTCATCATTGTTTCTCTGTGTGTCATGTTGATTGTTTTTTGCACAAGTTAAATATCCTGTTTATTGTGTAGCTTGTATGAGATCGAACCTTCTGAGAATGATCTTTTAGATCATTTGCCATTAATTAACGAAGCTGCAATAAGAGACAAAGAGATAGCAAAATCTGAGGTTTGCCTTACTTCTTTAATTTATCTTTATAACGAGGGCTGCTATATGTCACTAGAATCCTTTTTCTCTTATGTAGTTTCTGCAGGAGACCTTGGCACCTTGGTGCGCTTGTCGCCTTTAATAACACTGCCATATGTATTGTGCATGTGTCTTTTTGTTTGTCTTTTATATGCTCAGCTATTTGAACAACTGATAATTTGAACAGTATTTTGCTGCTCTTCTGGTGGAGCCTGGGAAAAGGAAAGCTTTCCATGAGGTCAGCACTAACAGCTGCATTTTTTCATGCGTTGTGTTGTTTTCTCTCTTGTTTGATATTATTGTTTTTATCCTTTGTTTTAAGGAAGTGTACTTGCTTTATGTAGCAGGACATTCAAACAACAAAGAAATCTAAGTTTATAGTTGATTCTGCTGATGATGATGATGATGATGGTGATGAAGATGATGATGCTCATGAATTTGATGAAAGGGTACTGTTTGATTCTGTATGTGCACTTTGTGACAATGGCGGTGAACTTTTGTGGTATGCTCAGAACCTTTGAACTTCTGTGGATTTGACATGAATTGCTCCATGGCCCTTATATTTTTGCACTTGGTGTTGATTTGCAGTTCTTTTTGCATTGTCGAGTCGAGTACTTAGGTCTTTGCTTTGTTTGTTTTTGAGTTTGTAGCTGTAATTTATGAGGAGTTCGTTTTGTTTCTTGTATATTTCTTCCTTCAGTAAATATTAGTTTCTTTTTTCTTTTTTTTTTTCCAATGAAAAACTAATTTCTCTATTCACATATTGTTTATGATCATAAGAAGGTTGATGTTTAGTTCTGTACTTGGCATTGCAGTTTCTTGTGAATAATTTAACATTCTTTGTGTTTATTGTTCTTGTTAATTTACTTCATTTTCCATATAATACAGTTGTGAGGGGAGGTGTACAAGATCCTTTCATGCAACTGTAGATGCTGGAGCTGATTCTCTTTGTGAATCTCTTGGCTACACTGATGCTCAAGTTGAAGTATGAACCTGCTTTTGTTGTATTAATTTTTTATTTTTTTCCAAGCATTGTTTGTTTGAGTTTCATTTTTTAGGGGTTTGCACCTTAAGTATTGTTTGGTTTCATGCAGGCATTTCAGAATTTCCTCTGCAAGAATTGTCAATACCAGCGGCATCAGTGCTTTGTTTGTGGCATCTTGGGCTCTTCTAATAAATCTCCTGGTGCAGAGGTTTAAATCTTCTAGTAACAATGACAAATCATCATATATAGAATGTTTAGATTTTCCCTTATTGATTTTTTAGTTGTCAGTCATTATTATTTGTCACAATACCAACCCCGCCTCATTCAGAATTACAGTCATGACCGGCCAGTAGCTCATGCTACCAAAGGCCTTGCACAAATCAATAATGGGTCTACCTGCGAGAAACACGATAAATAGTATTGTGGAAGCTAATAATCAAAGGTGAAAACTTCAGAGCTTGTGCCTAGGTAATCAAACCATCCAACATAATTAGACATGCATACACATATTTACATGTAGTACACATCCCGTCTTGGCCATCATACAAAGACCATACACTTATAAATCCTTATTTACATAAGATAACAAGATTCACTGCACGTGTATGACATATGCACAACACTCAAAAAGACACCAAAAGATCTTCATGCCCAAAAGGTTCCTTAAGCACATACACAAGTTAACTCCTCGTTTGCCACAATCTTTGAATGTAGATTTCAAGCAGTTTCCACAAAATATGTAAAATTTATGTGGATCTGCAACTTAAACTTCATTTGTCTTTCCAGGTCTTCCCCTGTGTTTCTGCAACTTGTGGCCATTTTTATCATCCAAAGTGTGTGGCAAAACTGTTTCACCCATGTGATGAAACTCAGGCAGAAGCAGTTCAGAAAAAAATTGCTGCAGGAGAATCATTCATATGTCCTGCCCACAAATGTTTTATATGTAAGCAAGGAGAAGATAAAAAGGTTTATGACTTGCAATTTGCATTGTGTAGGCGCTGTCCAAAGGCATACCACCGAAAATGCTTACCCAGGTAGTCTTTAGTTTTTCCACATTTCTTATCTTGTTTTTCAATAATGTCAAGAAATATTTGAGTGCTAAATATTGAAATGGTAAAAATATTGACATTGTTATTCTGACATTTAAGTTACCTTTGTCAGGAAGATTGCTTTTGAAGGTGATGGTGATAAAAATATCCACCAGAGGGCGTGGGATGGTCTTTTGCCAAATCGTATATTGATATATTGCGTGTAGGTTCATCATGAGTGACCCTATTCTGTTAAATAAAATTTTGCTTCATTTACTGAACGCCATATTTATTGTCAATTTTGTTTCCCACAGGGACCATAAGATCATTCCACTGCTTGGGACTCCAGAAAGAAATCATATTTTATTTCCTGGTGTTGATGGAAAAAAGAAGAGACACAGAATAGAGTCACTATCAGGAAAAGAGAAGGTGATGGCAGAAAAGAGAAGTACAGTTTCTGTAAGTGTAACAGAAAGAACTGCAGCAAAGATGCCAAAAAAGCTCGAGTATGCTACTGTTACAGGTGGTGAATCTCCCAAAGAACTTGAGAAAGGATTTTTCAGACAAGGTTCTATGTCAAAAGTCACTGATGTCACCATGAAATCTTTGAGGACGAATACTGTGTCTGTCCAGGCAAGAATGTGTAAGCTTTCCACAACAGACAAAAACAAGTCATCCTTTGGAATTGATCATTCACTGCCGATTATGAGGTCAAATACGGTTATGCCTAAGCAGCAAAATTTTCTCAGTGGTAAGACCAAGAGCACAATAGCAGCTATGCCTGTAATGAAGAAAGTTTGCATTACACAACCTTTAGGAGATGAAGAAGAAAAGCGGTATTGTATTTGCCTTTATCTTATGTTCAGACATGCAGCTTAATACTTTTTTTCTAGATAGAAAAGTCTTAAATTGAAGTTTGGAAATTTAACTATAGTTCTTTGAACTTGTTCATCAAGTTTTAATGTCATGATCCACTATGCAGAATAGTGGCATTAATGAAACGTTCAACTGCTTCATTTAATTTGGAAGAATTCATAAAAAACCAGGGAATGTTATCTAACAATGCTGATGCATGCTCCTCAAGATTTGTGGTGGACAAAACCATGACAAAGGGCAGGGTGGAGGCCTATGTGAGGGTACATCTTACCAATTACTTATGACATATAGCTGCAAACGATGATTTATTTGGAATCTCAATTTGCACTTGTCTTCATTTTTCTTTGTTTTTTTTACCATAATCTTTATGATTTTCAATATATTTGCAGGCTATTCGAGCAGCCTTAAAGAAGTTAGAAGAAGGGTGTACTACCGGGGATGCAAAAGAAGTATGTGGACCAGAAATTCTCCAACAGATTGTCCGTTGGAAGGTTCATATCTGTTTGACCTTGACTTTTAATACTGGTTAATTTAGGTTTCACCATTTCTGTAATGATATGTAGACCCAACTTTCTTATTGCTGCTCTGTTTTATTATGCACATATTGCTTGCTAAGGTTGTAGTGATCAATCTTTCCTTGTTTGTAGTATGTAAAAGGAAGTAGTTAATCTTTATTGTGTAACTTGTAGCTATGATGGAACTTGCACAACATCTTATCTATGGAGTTACAATTTTTTTGCTTGTTCTTTCTTATTTCTTGCAGGGTTCTGTTTGAGTTGTAAAACTTTAAATGTAGTAAATCCATGTTTGCTCAGGTTTTGGTTCGGTGTGCATAAACTCAATTGTTAGCGAAACTGCATCAGCTTTGGCACTACATTTTCTTTAATTTCTTGGAGTTTCTGCATGGTTCTAAAATTGGAGTCCTATTTCAGTTTACAACTTCTCATAAGGTTATTCTGATGATTTTAGGTCTTTCTAAGTGTGTTTACGCACCTCCCTCAAAAAAGTGTTACTGGATTATAATTTGTATGTCTTTATGTCGTAGTTGTTTAGCCTTTGGAATTGTAATGGAAGATATTCAACTTAGATCTAAGATAAATGTTCATTTCCTTTCTTCAGTTCAGCACGTCAACCTTTGAAGCCCTAGGAGCATCATAGGTCTCTCTCTGTATGTGGGTGCATGTGCACACACATGTACATGACGTGCATGCACAGGGCATCTGACTCGCACAACCACATGCACAAATACACTCATGCCCTTCTTTCTTCACTTATTCCGATTTATGTTCTTTCTCCACTTCATCTTACAATTTTTCTTTCCCCCATACTGTCACTTTTATGGCAATTCTTACTGAAATATCTTGCATCCTAATGTTCTGTGGTTGTTATGAGTCTATAGCCTGTTATTATTCAATGATTTTGGCTATTCTGAAGTGAGGCCCTCTATTATGATCTAGTCCAAACTAGTCCTGCAGTTTCTGTAGTAAGAGATTGATAAGACATAATTATCTTTGTTGGATGAGTCTTACCATATAATTTTCATACCTTCTTTTAGGTTGAATTTTGAAAATTTTCAAATATTGTCCTCCATCCAAACCTAATGGCCGGTTCTCCTCCCCTTCCCCCTCCCCTTCTCTGCTGTTGCTTTTTGTGCTTCTGCTTCTCAGCAACTCTTCCTCTTTGGTACTGCAATTCTGCAGGTAGGTATTCTCCTCACTTCTGTCGCTTTTCTTCTCTTCTACAGGAGAGGAGAATACCTACCTGCATAATTACAGCACCAGAGGGAGAGTTGCTGAGAAGCAGAAGCAAAAAAGCAAGAGAAGAGAAGGGAAGGGGAGGGGAAAAGAGAGGAGAGGGAAGGGGAGACCAGCCTCTTTCAGTTGGCTGTCAGGTTTGGATGAGTTGGTGTTAAGAATTCAAGAACATAATAATGGCAATATGAGATTGATTTGCCAGTATGTCAAACAGTCTCAAGCAGTTAATTGTAAGGGATCCTTAATAACTATTCCATTTTAAGTAACTTGAAAAAATATACATGTGGAAATGAACTGATTACTTTGCTCACATCGTTTAGGGAAAGCTGAAGGTCTATCTTGCACCTTTTCTCCATGGGATGCGCTATACATCTTTTGGCCGCCATTTTACAAAACTGGACAAGCTTAAGGAGGTGAGACAACTGTCTTTTACGTTTTCTTACAAGCAGTGTTGTTTACTGCATTATCAGTGGGGTGATCTCTTACTTGAACCTTACTCCCCAAAGGGACACAGTGCTTTCTCTCTGTTTTATTTTTTATTTTTGTTATTATTATTTTAACAAGACATCCAATGTATAAGACTTGTATTTGGTTAGGTCCCAATGATTATCTAGTAACCTATGAAGTCCTGTGAGAAAAACACCATTTTCGAGTGTCGCACTAAGATTGACAGTGTCAAAAAAACTCAAGATTGACTTTGCCGTGCTTGAAGGCTATTCGTTTAATCTACATAAACGAGAAGCATGATGATCCAATAACGCAAGTGAACAAATCGATAATCATATTGACACTAAATGGCTACTCTGTAAATTATTCTACACTCACATGGGGAGTGGAACTTACACCATGTAAGGATCTGGGCCTCACCCTCCATGTGAGTTGAAAATAATTTATGAGTAAACCATTAGACATCCCTAGCAAAATTGTTGTTTTGTGCAAAAACCAAGGATTACATTGTGGAAGTATTTAGATCTTGAATTTGAGAAAAGATTTGTGAAGAGAAATGGAAGTACCTAATTATATTTATAACAGGCATTCTTGGGCAAATTTGTATTTATAAACCTGCAAGTTAAGTTTATGTGGTCAATCTTTCCTTGGAATTGAGGACAGATGATAGATAACTGCAATTATGTTCTAATAATAGCTTCCATGGAGCCACTGAAATTAATACTTCCTGATTATGGACCCGGGAAACCTATGAGCTTTGTATGGTTTATATTAGACTTGGTTGTAGATAATCACTTGATGAAGTTTAGGCTGAACTCATAGCATGAGTTTTAATGTGCAGATAGTTGATCGGCTCCACTGGTATGTGCAAGATGGGGACATGGTAAGAAAAGTTTGCATTGTTTATGCTTCTCTGATGTGGATGCACAGTTTGTGTCTGTTGCTTGTCGGAATGTATCTTTTGTAGTTCTTACTCTTTTTTTGTTGTTTTCCTTGGATGTGATAACTTGAAGGGTAAAGACACCAAAAAAACTCATGCAATATGTAAGATAAATTGATAGAGAGAGATACAGACAGAATGAATTATGTATATTGATTTATGTATTGAATGTGTTTATTCCAAAAAAACTCATGTAAGATAAATTGATAGAGAGAGATACAGACAGAATGAATTATGTATATTGATTTATGTATTGAATGTGTTTATTGATTGATGTATGTTATGTATTACAAATGGTAAGAGGCTCCTTATATAGGAGATGTAGTGGAGTAGGTGGAGTAGGTGGTAGTGGTAGGTGGTAGTAGGTGGTGGTAGGTGTAGTAGGTGGAGTAGGTGAAGGTAGGTTTTAACAGTAGGTTTTAACACAATATTTCCTTAAGTCTTCCATTTGGGTGTTTTTGATCTTTTCACATGCGCCAGCATGAAAGCAATCAAAGCATTAAAAGCATTCACAAATAGTGTGGCACAACCTTCCATTACATGCAACTTGTAAACCCACATATCTTTATATATAACTTGTTTAAAATATCAATTGATGCCTTCACTTAAAGTGTCTAGATCAAGCAATGTTTTTTGCTATCATGGTAGACAATTAAGTTACTTTTTGATACAATCACAATTACAATCTCAATTAGATTATTCTTTTTTTGCAATCATTTCTTCTACTTGAGCGTAGTGCGTGCTGTTGTCTCGTTTCTTTTGGTAAAATTTTACAATGGAGAGTAATACTTTTTGTGGATAACAATTTATTTGTTATTGTCTAAGAAGCACGGACATTTCTAAGAATGTGGCGTATCCGTGTTGTACCCCAACACTCGTTGGACACTTACCAACATCTGTTTGACACTCGTCAAATTGTATCCTATTTTTTAAAAAGTTTTTAAAATCTGGATACTCTTCAGACACTTGGAGGACACACTTGTCCATCGATTAGACACACATGAAACTAATTATAAGTTTGAACTAAATAAGTTAGAATACAATAATAAACAAAAACAATGTAAATTTGCAAAACTAATATTGCATTTTTTTTACTATCTTTGAATGATATATTCTTATATATGACATAAAATAAATATATAAAATTATATATTTCGTGCATGTCACCCATGTATCGTGTCCTGTATTTTTTTAAAATTGACGTGTCAGCGTGTAGTTATCGTATCTATGTTGTGCCGTGTGTCCGTGTCCGTGCTTCTTAGGTGGTTGTTATATTCATCACTACTAATTGTTGTGCTTGTTATTGTCATCATTTTACATAAACAACATTTTTCTCTGCCAGATAGTCGATTTCTGCTGTGGTTCCAATGATTTCAGTTGCTTGCTGAGTAAAAAGCTTGAACAAATGGGGAAGAGTTGCTCATTCAGAAACTACGATCTTATCCAATCTAAGGTAGAAATTCATTCTTCTTTTGTAGGCCATGCAAAATGAATGCTACAAACTCAAGGGGGACAAAATTTGGTTGTAATGTAACCATCATATGGATGGGATTTTTCTTCAGGAAATCACTTTAAACCGGTGGTTTGCTTCATTAGTATACTGTTAACTTTTGGAAAAATTACACAACAGGGGAAAAAAAATGACAAAATGAATGAAACCACAATTATTTCATTCTTAACTTTGGTTTTGTTTTTGGTGGTCTTCTTACATTGTTTGGAAACAGTAAGAATTGGTTTTTGGTGGTCTTCTTACATTATTTGCTTTATATACTACATCTAAACTGGGGATCCTTCTTCTCCTGTACCATCTCCTCTCGCCAAAACTTTTGCGGGCGAACTAACCACAACTACTTATTTTGAACAATGAGAATACACACATTTTCCCCCCAATTGACAAGAATGAAAGTGAGCCATTACCCAGTGTTGTCACATTAATTCATTGTGCTGGGAGGGGCTGACTAGGAATGGACCTAACCTGATGCTTTGTTGGTATGCTATGTTACAAATTCGGGTATGAGTATTGGTTGCAGGAAAGTGTTCAAGCATCGTACCTTCATAAACCTAAATCTTAAGATATTGAGATATGTATTTAAAAGTTGGATATGGGTACGGGAATTGTCATGGACCCATATATTGTATATTGTATAATATTCTTAGATAAGATATTGTAAATTACGTTGAAAATATACTTGAAAAATATGGAAAGCGATGTGAGATGTTAGAAATGTTTATTTACTAGCAAATGTGAGTTTCTAATTCTTCAAATTTTGTAAAAAAATAGAAGATCCAAGCGTTTAAATTGGGTAAGAGTGTTGGACACGTATTTAACACCCTGGCCCTTGTCATATTTGGTGGACACAGGTACTTTTAGGGAAAATAGAAGAGTCCATGTAACATAATTGGTACTTGGTAGCTGCCCTCATACTTGAACCCGTGTTGGTACATTGTAACTGCCCTATATTGCTGTTCTTACAATTACAAGCATTATGTTATTAGAATAAAACCAATCATTTTATCTTCTGATTTATTGGAATAATCAGCAAAGTAGTGGCCATGTGAATGAAAAGGCCCTGTTTTATTCAGGTTTACATTCTTAAATTTTGTTTTTGGTTCTCTTTTTTGTTCAGTCCCCTTTTTACATGTTGATCCTATTTTAGCCAGGTTTTCCTATATTTGGTGCTCAAGACTTTGTTCTTTAATCCTTTTTTCTCCCCCTTTTTTTCTTCTTAGAATGATTTCAATTTCGAGAAGAGAGATTGGATGAGTGTCTGTGTAGAAGAATTACCTGCAGGATCTCAACTGGTAAGAGGCTGAAAACTTGGTTTTAGTAATCTAGCATGATGTTTGGACTTTAACACTATTTAAAGAAGATTCACCATTTTCCTTATTGCTGCCATGTGAAATAGATCATGGGGCTTAATCCTCCTTTTGGGGTCCACGCATCCCGTGCTAATCAGTTTATAGAAAAGGCTCTTAAATTTAAACCAAAGCTCCTTATTCTTATTGTTCCACGAGAAACCAAACGGTATGCAAATATAATCGCTTCTTAGTTACTTTATCAAGAAAACTGTGACGGGTTGTAGTTGCTCTCTCTCATTTTTTTTTTCTTTTCTGTTTACCCTAGACTAGATGAGAAAATCCCTCCATATGACTTAATTTGGGAGGATGGCGAGCTACTCTCTGGCAAGGTACAAAAAGAAAGCACTTACCCTTATTTTTAATTCTAATTGATTTTCTTACGAAGGAAAATTAGACAGTATTGATCTTTGTATTGAATTTATTCCTTTATTGTGCAGTCATTTTACCTGCCTGGATCGGTAGATGTGCATGAGCAGCAAATGGAGCAGTGGAATTGGAAGGCACCACCTCTATATCTTTGGAGTCGGTCAGATTGGACTGCCCAGCACAAAGCAATTGCACGAAATCATGGCCACTTATCTAAGGAGCAAGCCGAAAATGATCAAAAAGCCGTCTCAAATTACCTAATGGAGGAGAATCAAGATTGTTATGGTGATTTCTCTGACATAATGGATGGCTGTGGTGATATCTCTCGCATATTAGATGATGTTCCGGAAGATTCTGATGATAATGAAGGAGCTAGAGCAAATGTCCCCAACATGCAGCAGGAGAGCCCATCTCCCTTGGTTGATGGCTGTGGTGGGCCACCTCTCGAAATTGATGAGATGTACATGGACATGGAACTGTCAACTCCTCCGAACTTCCCATGTAATGATACACGTCTCAAAAGCTTGTCTGAATGTCAACCAGAGGCGGGCCTTGAGACTTGGGCAGAAGCAAATGCTGGTCAACGAGATTTTGAATACCTCCTCCAACCGAACCTTCATGGACATGGCTTGCAGTTTGGAACAGAATACACAATGTTCCATACAGCTGTTCCAAATGCCGTGGGAAGCAGTTACAACTGGTCAACGAGCACCAGTTATGGTGTCGGCGGTAGATCGCTCAATGTCGGGGATAAGCATTCGGATTATGTCGAATATGCTGTGGAAAATATCCGTCAGAGCCGATATTGAGTGGAAAATGTCTTCTCTTTTGACCTTGTTTCTTGTAGTTGTGTTGTGTTGCGTTGTAACTGAGGTGCATTGAGAGTTGCTCACATGCAGCAAATGAACCTCAGGGTTGTGACAAGTTAATTTATATTGTCTGCTATGGTTGCAATGAAATCTTTAGAAGAGCTTGGTGCATAATACATGGTCTTCTGGTTCATACATATATAACAGAAATAAAAATGCGTTACGCTTACGCATTCATTTTACCCCTTGGAAGAAGATAACGCTCGGTCATGAATCAGACCCGCCTCTGTAGGTTTAATATTGTAACCGACCAGTAATCTGTGATTAACAAAGATCTGCTTAACAGTAATGACAGTATTACAGTAAAAGAGGGTTGGCGGAAGTTAATAAATAAAATAATATAATGTCTAAAGAGCTGTGAGGACTTAAATAAACAAAAGAAATTCGCATTTATAGACAGTCACATGAGTCCAAGTCCAAACATAGGTACAAACATGACACAACACGTTTTATCAATACACATTCGATTCATGCAGTCGGTTATTAACTTATTCAGTTTATCCTTTACTTGATCGTTCGATTATTTTTATTCATTCTTTAATTTCCTTCATGTCCATCAAATGCATATGAACGTCAAATACATGTGAAAATTATGCAATCGGAGGCCCAAAAGTTGAAAAAAAGGGAAAGAACAAATCCGAACCTGCCCTGACACCTCACGGAAAGAAGGCTCAAGATATTGACCTGTAAAGTTGTAACTATTTTGAATTTTGAATTTTGAATTTTTATATCTATTAAATAAATAAAATATTTTAAAATAGTAAGAAAATGTTAAGAAATAAATATAGAAGTGAATATTTTCCCTCAAAGAAAGCTTCTCCTGATCAAAGTTAAATTGACATTAAAGTTTAACAACAATCTATGAGTAGTGTACACGATGCACTTAAATTGCACACATCACTCATTCTACTGCTCAAGCTTTTGGGAGTGTGGCCTAAAAATTAAAATTAGGACAAATTACTGAGGAATTGTGTCACTTTAATTTTTAACTTTTCAATTGTGACATATTTGATGTTGAATTTTAAATCTTATTCCAAATAAAGATAATTAAACATACCATTACTTAATTTCAAGGGCAAAATTGTCAATTTAATAAAACATAAACTAATTTGATAAAAATAAATGTCAAAAAAATGTTTTAAAATTTTTAGAAATTATTTCTACCCATCAAAGATAAAATTATGTAAAATTAATAAAAATTACATGATTAATTTTTAAAAATTAATTTTACATGATTATCATTCAAATACATTATAAAAATTAATTTGGTAAAAAAAAAATATATATAAAAGATTTATCAATTTTATATAATTTTATCTTTAGTAGGTAAAAATAATTTTTAAAAATTCAAAAATAATTTTTTGACATTTAGTTTTGTCAAATTAATTTATATTTTATTAAATTAACGATTTTGCCCTTACAAAATCTAATAATATCTTCAATTATCTTTATTTGGAACAAGATTTAAAATTTAAAATCTAATGTGTCACAATTAAAAACTAAAATGATACAAACCCTAAACTATAGCTACCCTTAGTGCAATTCACCCTTACAATTATAGGCCGATGTGTTGTCTTAGCCTTGCCTTAGTTGGCTATTTTTGTTTTTCTTTCTGATTGATGACAACTTCGTCTTGAGTCCAATATTTTTTTGTTTTTCCTTTTGATTGATGACATTGAACAAACATATAAATATAAAAACCCATCACATTTTTTCTTTTCATTTATGTATTTATTTATTTTTTTTTTACACAAAAATTCCTTCTAGGGAGGATAAGAATGCTGTGGACTAGATAGAGTGGTCAAAGTCGCATTGGACTGCAATTTATGCCACCAATTAAGCAAAGGGCTGCTTAAAGGATTTTTCTTTTTCTTGGTTGAAATGCTTCATGGTACAGCAATATCATCAGCCATTTCATGCCTATCAACAAATCTTGACAGGACCACAAAAAAAATAATAATAAAAAAAAAAGAAATTGAAAATTACAGAACAGGGCAGAGATTCAGCAATGCCCCAAATTGTACTGTAAAAATGAAACAATTCAAAAAATTTACATTTATCAACTGCATGAAACGACAGGTGCTCTCAATCACTCTCCCGCTCCGGTTTTTCCCTCTCAGGAAGGGAGAAACATTAATTTTGACATCCTTCTCTTTTGGGAAAAACACAACCTTTTTTAACTTGTCCAATTATATCACAGTGACAATTTGGCATAAAAAATCACTTATTTGTTGTCCGCTCTCAAAGAATTTAGCCGTCTTAATCTCTCATCAAGCTCGGCCATGACTGCTGGTTCCTGCTTTTTCCTTTGTTTTGATATAGTTGTGGTTGTCATTGACCCAATTTTATCAAAAGCAACCTACAACAATTGTTAGTAGATGAGATTACTTCAATTTGTGAGCATACACAAAAAATTGGGTTGTGAAGACCCTAATCACCATAGAACAAGATGATCACGAAGATATAAGTCAACATATATATTATATATACTAAGGAGAATGATAAAATCATATTATATTTCTAACCCTAGCGAGGAAGGAAGAGGGAAGGGTTTGTTATTCGAGTCATTCGAGAGCCCCAACCACCAAGACAGCCAGCCCGCTTAGAAGTCGACATTTATTAGAAGAAACTTCTTGTAAATGGTTTGTTGTACACATTTAAAAAATGTAATGTTCATAGCATTTGAAATGAGTCTACCTCAATGCACACACTTGAAAAAATCATTGGGAGATGTCACTCTAATCTTTCATTAGAGGTGTTAACTCGCTAATTGTCCCCAAAGCTTAAGCACACCCTCCTCCCATGGAGATGCAAACATCCATACATACAGAGAAGAAAGAATGCAGACAAAAGAAGAAAAAATACAAACGGGAACCAAATGCAAATAGATACCCATGTTAAGTTACTAATTATTCCAAAAGCTTAAGTTGTTAAGAATGGACCCAACAATGTTATATCTAACTATTCAACAAGAGGTCTATGAAGCATTTTTAATTTTTATATGTCTAATTCTTCTTTTCCTAATAATGACTCCGAAAGTAAGATGTAACTTCAAATGCTATGGAAGATACGAATGGATTCATTTTCATGCACTCTCCTCCTTAAATCATCATTTTCTTGATTTAGGTACTCGGTTTTGGAGAGGGGGTTAACTTGAAAAAGAATTAGAGTAAAATGAGAGAGTTATGTTACCGTCAATAATTCATCAGGATCAAAGAGCTGATGGGTGGTTTTCTGTAATATATTAATTACATCCCCAACATGGTGAGCTGTGAGCAACTCTTCTTCCTTCATCTGCAATCACAAACCACAATTCATGACTCTGAAAGTGTTTCACATTTACTAATTATAAATAAATAAATAAAATAACAATAAATCAGCGCTTAAGAAAATTAGAGTCACCTTGAAAATAGCCAAAGCTACATGAAACAGAACGGTCGCTCCCTCGTAGAAAAGTACATCCCACACCCTCAAAGTTGTCTGAAAATGAGTTTTACAGTAAAAATTATAGGTTGGTAAAAGGCTCAAAATGAGAGAGAGAGAGAGAGAGAGAGAGAGAGAGGCAGTCAAAATTGTTATAACCTCTGAAGGCAAGCTCTTGGAAAAGAGGCACAGGAACCACTCAGTGGCAACAAGGGAGACATCAAACTCCAAAGCTTCCAAATGAGCGGCTATCCTGCATTTTTCTTTTTCCAATTTAACAAAAGAAAGAAAGAAAGAAAGAAAGAAAGAAAGAAAGAAAGAAAAGCCGACAGGGAAAAGATAACAACACTTCAGCTTTGTTATTGAGGATTGAAAGGGAGAATAGAATACCTTGGACATTTTTTAACTAGAAGATCTTTAAAAACCCTTTGCTCAACATGACACCCAGATAAATTATTTGTGTAGCAATCATTCACTAAGACATTTTCTAGGAGGACGGCTAGCATCCAAAAAGCATCTTCTTCTGTTTTCATCACAAGCAGCAACAATGCTGCAACATAATTTAAACCCTGCATCAAGAACAATTCAGGTCAAGAATACATTTTTTTGGGGGTTAAATTCAAAATTAACATCATAAACTAAAGGGAGTGGTTAGAGAACAGATGCACCTGAGGTGTTATGCAATTTATCATTCGAATCGATCTAGTTAATAATTTTCTAAGATGATAAAAGAATATTCATGCCTTAAGATCGATGCTGAAAATGATGTATACGTGTATAATGAAAACCAATGGCAATGAAAATCCCTAAAAGAATCATGTCACTGCAAGAGAATTGACAGAGCTGGAAAGAAATTTTCAGAATCTCAGATTATGAAAAAAGAGTGAATTTTATTAGACGAAGGTGGGGTTTGGTAATTGCTTTTTTTGTGTGTGTGTGTGTGTGTGTGTGTGTGGAAGAATCTAAAAAAGTTGATGCGTTTGGTAATTGCTAAAAAAGTAGTGTTTTTGGGTATTTTCAAACTTGCCTTTATGTGGTAAATTACTATATTACCCTAATAATATTGTGATAGTACTGAGGGTAAGATTGTCTTCTCACAAAATTGCTAAAAAATCTTCTTTTTATGGAGAAGCCATTCCAAACAGGCTTATTTATTTTTGCCTTTTCTAGCAAAAAGTTACTTGGTTCTTCCCAAACAGGGCCTGAGGCACTTTTGCTGTCCGATGCGTGGGTTTGGGTTCTTTGGCTTTTGGTGTGGATGTATGTGTGTGTTTATTTCTAAGTGATCAAATGTTTTGGAACATATTTTGTTCTGCATATGCAAAATGGTTAACAGATAGCAAACTTCTTTGATGGTGGTACTTGCAATACACAACAAAATACAAGAAAGATTTGAATGGTGTAACCAAAACTATAGCGGAAGATAGAATGGTCATACAAGATCATCTCTAACTTTTCTAGGTTATGATTAGGATAAGAATTTGTTAATCACTTCATAATGTCTCAAGCAGTAGCATCGTGTACACTATTATTGGTAATTAATTTAAGACTGGAGAGAATGAATCATAACCTGACAATAACCAACATCAGAATCACGGAAAGAATACACCACAAGAACGCGTCTGAGAGCGGCATGACCTTCTGGAGTGTCCAACCATGGGTGACCAGGAAATGTTCGTGGTAGATCCTGTAAATATTATATATGCATAAGAAAAAAATTAAAAAAGAAAAATAAATCAGAGGTGAATGGCAAAGTTGGCATTGCCAATATACATCTCTTGGAAAGTAAGCCTTAAATATTTTGTCTTGGGAAACCAGTATCTGATAGAGGCAACACAAAATAAGAAAGGATGAAAACCATGAACGAACAGGCCTTTGCACTCCATTTTCTCACTTCTTATACTAAAAAATGAAATTCTTGCTAATAAACAAGTATTATAAACTTTTTTCGTCTAGTATCTCTTTAAAAACTTCATGTCAAAATAAATAATTATAACTAAATAAATTCCTTGATACCTTTTCCCATTTCAATAAGTTCTGCATGCAATACCATGATTTATGTATTATACATAATATAAGTAGCCAAAAAGGGGATTAATATGTAAAAGTAATTTAGCAATATGTGTGCATATATATGTATACATAAACACACACATATATCATATTTGATATTACCATTAGTAATTTAGTAGGGATATTCTATGAAAAAAAACTTCCTCAAAAATAGGGAAACAAAAAACATGAGGAGTTCTTGATATCATACTCATTAATCTCTGGTAGACTAGAGGATTTAAATGCGGTTGACACAACGAGTACATAGTCCATGGTTGCAGATTTGTGATTTTTCTTTTAACCAGAAGAAAAAAAGAAAGGTAAATAAGATTGAAAAGTCCACATAAGGTTTGTTTTAAAGCCAGGAGGGACAGTTAGTACCAAGATTTAGACGAGGATGAGGCAGGATATAATAAGGGAGCATAAGACCAAATTGATGAAAATTACCAAGTCATTTATAATATCTCAAGCGTTCCACACTTTAGTCCCATCATTAACAGAATGCCCAGAGTGGGATTAAATAGTACCCTCTACATGGGATTATTTGCTCCAACCAGTCAATCACAGCTGGCCTCATTTGAGGCCACCAAACATGGGATGAGGGGGACACGGGACACACAGTCTAACCTTGCCCCTTTATACCCATACTAACTGTGGCCAATATACACACCGGATATATTCCAAAACAAAGACAATGAACAAACATATAAATACACAAGCACAAATTGTTTAAACTCTGCTTATCACATTGATCCCAAACAACAATGCTTGAACTTGAGAAAATAAAAGCATTACTAAGCCATCAACACATCAAAAAGTACACAATGAACATTCCACATATATTAAAAAAAGAAGAAGTAAGACAATGTCAGGCATATAAATATACAAACAAATTGTATACTCTGACTTGAGAACATAAAGGCATTACTAAACAAATCAAGAATTACAAGTACATAATCCAAGAAAATAAAAACCTAATCCTCCATAATCCTCCTTACATATCACATAAAAAATACTGCAAAACAAAATGTACAATTGTACCTTACATAAGCTATAATCTTAAATTGATCTTATAAAATTCATCTATGTTAATAAACTAAGACTTGGAGAGCTTGAGAATTCATGTTCCTTTGAATCAATAGCATTTCCCAATTTGCCCTAACAATTTCCAGCACCTTGAAATGGGCCGCTTGACACAATGCAAAGTATGACAAAATTTATGTTGTAAAAGTAATACAATGCAAACTAAACAAACTCAACTGAACCAGGAAATTTCATATTCAGCATCAAACAGAGAGGATAATTAAGATAAGTGTGTGTTATAATAGATTTCAACTGCAAATTTTCTCATCTTTTGTATCCAAACAACATCAAACAATGCAACAACAAGAACAATAATGCCATAACCATTTCATCCAGAACTGAAATATATTACACTCGAAACTTTTTCTTTGGTTGTGTTTTCTTGTTTTATTTTTTGCACAACACACAAAACTTGTTTTTCCGAAAACAGGTCCTTTTTGGAAACTGTTTTCACAAATATAAAAATGATGAAAATGATAGGTATTTTTTAAACATCTCATTTTTTTTTTCCCGGTTTCCATAGACACAAAAACATAACCAAATGATCAATTAGCAGATGCGGAATTGTAACTCACTTATTGTGAACATCAACATATTCATTAGTTTCATCTAGTATTTCTTCCTTCAAAACAAAACACAAATATTAGTTCATCAACAAAAAAAACACATTAAGTCTATGTACCCAGAAAAAGAACTCAGAAAAAACAGTGCCATGTCTAGATATGGTGAGGTTTAAATTAAAAAAGAATTTGAACCACAAACCATTACTGTTTTTTTTCTTTTTCTTTTTTGTGAATAAAATTTTAGGTATTTTATCAGGATACCTAGAAGGCTTGCGGAAAGAAAAGCATATATGAAAGGACTGATCTAATATTTACATATACGAAATTTCCTATCACCTATATGGAAGAAAAGCGTTCATATTGAAGCTAGTTTTGTGTACTTGGACAGAATTAACTTCTATAAGTTATATCTGAAGCAGCAATATTAATTAACTATAATGGAACACAAAATAACATTTGCATGAAGTACATCATAGTATTTATTAATACTAGTTAATTAGTTATATATATTACTAACCTGTAAGAGTTCCTCTAAAACATCTTCCATAGTAATGATACCAATGACTTCTTCCTCTTGATCTGGAAGTGATTCCAAAACTTCCTTTGTTTTATTTGCATCTCCTTGTTCACCTCCTTTCTTTGGTTGGAGGTTCCAACTGTCACTGCATCGCTCCGCTATGTACTGTAATGCTGGACTCTGACTCTCAGTAGTGTCGCTAGAAGTCACAAATGGTGGTGTATGTGTAGAAATACTCTTTTGTTGCTTGATCTCAATTCCTATATATTATAAAAGGAAATAGCAATGACCAACATATAACGACAAGTTTCCTTGTGTTCCATTGGACTTTATTTTAATAAATAGACTGAATATATCCAAAATCTGGGAAATTTGTACGCAATGCAATGTCAGTTACATGATCAGGTGAATGGAATTTTGGATTGTAATGTAAAGCACCTAAAATATTGAAAGAAATTACCTTTTCCCTCTGCTTGTTTTTGTAATATTGATGAGTTTGAATTGATGTTTATCATGATCATGTCATTTTTGTCTGTTGCATTTCCTGCAGTGTCCTTAACATTGTGCTTGCTCTTCACAACAGCAGCCATGTGGCTGTGCCCGTTTTGGAATTGGTTCAATATATCATACAGTGGTAAACTGTC